AGAGAGAGAGAGAGAGAGAGAGAGAGAGAGAGAGAGCAGACCTGAAAGATATCCTGGTTCGAGAAAGAGGAATTTCAGATTCACAGTGAATCTGTTGGCAGCAACTTTTGAGCTTTTTCTGGTACTCCCTAATTTAATAAGTACGTACTTTCCAAGAGTTGTCAGTAGTCAGAGTTTGTCAGCCCGCTTATTAATAGTAGTAGTAGTTTGTTGGGCCGCATGTTTCGAAAATAAGTGGGTTTTTTTAGTTGTTTTCACGCAAATTTAGAAATTTAGCTTTTAATATTTGGGGCTTTTCACGGTTTGACGGAAAATCGATCCAAACTGAAAACTAAACCAATTAAATAAATTAATATTTTTTTTTATTTGGATTGGTTTTGGTTTTAAACTTTAAAAATCGATAATATTTAGTTTGGTTTTGGTTCTATTATAAAAAAACAAAAAATAAACCGAACCAAACCGATTAATTATATACAAAATTTAATAATTATTTATATACAATATAATATCTTTTTCTAAATAATTCTAAATATTTTATGCAATTTAATTGCTATTTTGAATTTTGATTTATCCTACTTATATCTTAAAAGATTGTCTAAGCCCAAAACAATAGGAATCGGCCAATTTTCTTTTCCTTAAGAGACGTTAATTCTCTAACCCTCCGCACATACTTTTGTCTAACAGAAGAGTTAAAAAAATCTTACCATAAGAGTAAAGAAAGCAAACTCAAATTGCAAGACTACAGTGGCTAAAGCTTGAGAAAGCAAACTTTTAGTTCATTTTTTTGTTCATTCTTTTCATATAAAGAGGTAAATAAATTTTTAGTTCCGAAAGAAATATATAAAAAAGCATAATGCAAATTATTTTCAGATTATTGTATAGTATTGTTTCACTATTATCGACTTATTATTAGCTTACTAAGAACCGAAAAACCGTACCAAACTAATAACAACCAAACCGATGGTTTGTATTTAATTTGGTTTAGTTTTGGTTTTAAAACTTTAAAAATCGATTAAATTGGTTTGGGTTTGGTTTTAATCAAAAACCGATCAAATCGAACAGTGAACACCCCTATTAACATTAATTAGCAATTCAATTAATCATATTAACCTTTACTATCTCTTCACATAAATGTTCCTAACACATACTCCAATACTATTTACTCCAAGGGCAATGTAGGAAAAAATAATTAATTCATTCATTCTTGAAATCTGGAAAAATCACTTATTTTAGACCATAAAAAAAAAGTAAAAAAATTACTTATTTTGGACCGGAGGGAGTACTTGATAAATCTTATTTAAACATGGATAACTTGTTCTTGAGTTCTTTAATTGGGAATAGGAAGCCTAGGAATCTCGACTAGGGGTGTTCATAGTTCGGTTTGGATTGATTTTTCCCCAAAAAGAAACCAAACCAAGTAAGTCGGTTTTTCAAATATTAGAACCAAACCAAACCAATTAAGTCGGTTTTTTCTCGATTTGGTGTATGTCGGTTTTTCGGTTTTTTTTGTTATTTGTCGGTTTTTTTCTTAAATATAAGACATACACTACCAAACACATATTTCGGCGACCACATTTTTAACGTAACATTATCAAATCAATTGCCCTTTGAGAAATCTATTATCCACCAAGATATATTGATGATAATTGAATCAAATAGTGATGAATAATTTAAGGACTCAATTAAAAATATATTATTTTTAACATGAAATAGATTCTTACACTTAACAAAAGAAAACTACCAATAAAACTAGAATGTAATGATAAAGAACACCACTAAAAATGCAAACGATTAACATTTACTATAAAAAATTTGAAACTTTGTATATATATGTGTGTGTGTGTGTGTGTGTGNTTAACATTTACTATAAAAATTTTGAAACTTTGTATAAAAGTATATATATGTGTGTGTGTGTGTGTGTGTAATTCTAAATTTAAAATAGCTACTCCTATATTCGGTTTGGTTCGTTTTTTTTTTATTAAAACCAAAACCAAACCAAATTTGATCGGTTTTTAAATTTCAAAACCAAAACCAAACCAAACCAAAAAGTATCGGATTTTTTGGTCGGTTTGGTTCGATTTTTTGGATTTTTATGAACACCCCTAATCTCGACCATCCCGAACTTCTCCTAAATGAAATTATTGCCCTCTCAAAAGATTAGCAACGAAATTTCATCGAGACAACATAATCTTTAAAGGAAAATTTTACATAAGAACAACTGGGCTCCCCACTTTTCAATTTTAGTTAAAATAGCATGGTATAGCCAGTTTTTGGACTGGTCATTCAAAAATAGTCAGCGTTTACCAAGTCAATGAAAAATAGCCATTATTTTGCTGCAACAGAGACCGATCCAGCATAATATACTGGAGTTCGGTGCACCTGTGTATGAACTTCAGCATATTATGCTGGACCAGTATACTTTGTTGGCTCCAGTATAATATACTAGAGACCGGAGCATCGGTGCCCCAAACTCCAGTATATTATGCTGGACCGGTATACTTGTTGGAACTCCAGTATATTATGCTGGAGTTCTAGTGTACTTATGCTGGAACTCCATCATATTATGCTGGAGTTCCAGCATACTTATCCTGAAACTCCAGCATAATATACTGACGTATTTTTCGGGTTTTGAACAGTGTTTTCGCTCAGATTTATTTTTACATAAAAAGTGACTAAATTTCGATTACTTTTGAAATTAGGCTATTTTGGAACGACCAGTTGTAAATTTGGCTATTTTTTAATTTCTCTCTCAATTTTATAGTTCATATTTCAATTTACAATCAACTAGCTCAAAAATAATAGGCTAAGATTTAACATCCAACTCCAATAGGTTCTCAAAATTACCATTTAATTTTTAAAAAAGATTGCTCAAGCTTTTAAGTTAATTTTCGAATCAGTAACTGTGACTCAAATATTAGTTCAACAAACCAAATCCATTTGGGTGGTGAAAATTAAATTTTTAACAAGCTTAAATATGTGGGTTTAAATTTCGAATTTGATTTTGTGAGAAATTTGGAGTGGGTGTTATTTAGACTTGTTAGAAATAATATAAGGATGTTGTATATAAAATTTAAAGTCATTTAATGAAGATTTGGACTGGTTTTAAACATGAATTGCAACTAAAAACCATGGAAGAAGTTCGTCTACAGACATTTGTATAAATGTGTATAAAAGTATATAAGATGTGTTTATATACTCATATACACTATTATACAAGATTATACATAATTATACAAAAAAACTGACTTCGTCTTCTTCCTTGCGTCTTTTCTGAAATTTAACTCAAATCTTGTTCAAATCTACTCCAAATCACTTCAAATTTAAACTTTGAACTCCTTTTGATATTTTCAATCAATAGGAATAACGCCCAATCCAAACAACTAACAAACTCAAAAAATTCTATTTTCTAAAGCAAAGCTTTGAATGACCTTCAATGGTGGACTTCAACTCCATAGCTTTTAGAAGCAATGGTTATAAAAACATAAATTTTGAATTTGTAAGAGCTGGTATTTTCAAAAAATATATAATATGGATTAAGTCAAGTAAAACTTAAAAATATAGACCATTTTTTGTTATGGTATCAACTACTATTAGATCTTTTAGTAGAAACAAAGACTTCGATACAGGCCAAACTCGGCATAATTTCTCATGTTGCCACTTTATCTTTACGGTATACATATTGAACATCTTAAATTGTCTAATATGTATTAGGTAAGTTAATCGTGTGAAATTAAACGCGATGACATGGCAAGAGTACGAATGAAAGAATGATACTTGGTTAATTCAAATTTATATTTTTTTCTGTTCTTTTTTTCCTTTGTTATTCGTCTTCTTCCAAGACATTTATTCTATGTGATCCATAATAGATCTTATATAGTATTTCACCATATACATTATATATGTATGTATATATGTATACGGTTAAAATCAGGCTTGTCCGATTTTGCCATTAAATCGAGACCAGGGAATAATGTCGAGGGTTAGCCCCGTAATGGATCAGGCCAGAGCACAAAGACAAGGTATCGAGTCCGAGAATCGAAGCGCCCGTCGAGATCGAGGCCATCAACAATCGAGACCAAATATGATCAACTTCAAGCAAAGCGCAATAACGGAAATGCGGAATATCCGTAATCGGTCGGAGATCACGGCGAAAATCTCGGAACATATCAAATCAAGGGCGATTGTTTAGGCTAATCATAGGATTTACTTCCATAATTAGAATTGTACCATAACCAGGACTCCTCTGCTATATAAAGAGGGCCCTAATCATTTTGTAACCAACTGACAATTCATACAGATCAAGGCAATATAATATTTTTCTCTTTCTCTTGTTTATCAACTTGTTGTTCTTTAACTGTTCTTACTTTACTAAGCTCGAGGGTTCATCAGCTCGAGGGCACTGTCTAAGCATTGGTTTGTTTTACATTCTTGTCAGTTTCCATCACTTACCTTTATGTTTATCAATTGATATTAGGTAAAATCACATATCCTTAAAACCACACTATAAGTTTAATTGTTATCCAGTTTTTAGGGTAAACAATTTGGCGCCAACTGTGAGGCTAAGGATAATAGTGATTGCGTAGTATTAATCCTCATAACACACACTGCTTTTACACTTGTTCTCGTAAGTGTCTTTGATTTCGGGAAACCAACATGTCAAACTCTCAAGCAATGCCCACTCACACAGACACCGGCCTTGGTCTTCATGGCGAGAACGAGCACATAGTCGCCCTGGGAAACGAAGTACCTCCAATCAATCCCGATGGACCATAGGCCGTAGATCCAATCAATGTTAATTCTCATGTTGCGATTCATGGAAATTTAGGCGCCGACCCTAGAAATAGCGTCCGTAGAGACGCCCGGACAGCCGATCAGAATGCACAGAGTGGTGAAGAAGGTGGGATTAGCCTTCGAATGATATTTGAAATGTTACAAACTCAGCAGGCTGTGATAGTGCAACTCGAAAATCAAAATCGGGCACCAAGCAGAATCGAACTAAATACATCACAGGAAGCTGTTCATAGGGTCGAACCTGTACAAGTGAAATTGAACGATAATAGATCGGGAACTGACCCCGTCGTCATGAAGATGCTCGAGGAACTCACTAAATGGATAGAATCAGGTGAAAAGAAAATCGAGGCTAATGACAAAAAGGTAGAAACGTACAA